CCGCCCCCCCTTCTTGCGGGGGGGGGTCGCTCCGGTCGAAGGTTCGTTGCCTCCGGGCATGTAACCGGCTGTCCAAGGTGGTGTTTAGTCAGTAAAATTCTGACGTAACCATGTGAGGTATCCAATGAAGGATTCACCACCTCCTTCCCCCGTTGGGACGGTGGTTCCGAACCCCTAAGGTTGAGAGCCGAAATAAAAGGCGAACTTTAATTCAGTTTTACTTGAGCTAAACTTCGGCGAGCGATATTCTAGCAAACTGCTAGTACCGTCAATTTGCTTTGTGACTTTGTGTGCATCTTGATTGCTTACGAATTATATTTTGTATACGAAAATGATGTCTGGTGGAAAGAAACGAAAAGTAGATGCAGAGGGTCACCAATTAAAAAAAAATTGAATGTCTTTTTATCCTGCACAATGCTAATGAATCCAGTTCAATGATTAAAGAATTCAATATAAAGAGGCATTACTAAACTAAGTCCTACGCTGCACTCACCGACAGGACAAATAAGAAAAGACAAAATCCAGAAGCTTACTGCAAATTTGGAAAAGCAGAAGCAAATGCTTTATAAACAAAGAACACTACTTGATAATGTTGTGAAAGCTAGTTTTATAGTTAGTTAAAAATTGGCAAATCATTTTCCTAAGGCGAATTCATCAAGGAGTGTATATTAGAAATTTGCAGTGTTTTTTGTCCTGAAAAGAAAAATGAATTTAAAAAAATTAGTTTGTCAAGACGAGCTGTTGTCCGACGTATAGAAATAATGGCTAATGATATAAAAACAACATTGACTAACCGTATGGCTGGTTTTAATCATTTTCCATAGCGTTAGACGAGAGCACCGATTTGTCAGACACAGCTCAACTGGCTATATTTATTCGAGGTTTTGATAGAGAGTTCACTGTTACTGAGGAATTGCTTGCTTTACAGTCGCTAAAAGGAACCCCTACTACAGGAGAGGACATTTTTAGTGAAGTTCAAAAGGTATTTACAAGTTTTGCCTTGCCATGGTCAAAATTAGTTGGAGTATGCACAGATGGTGCACCTTCTATGGTCGGCTTACGTAAAGGTTTCATCGGAATTTTGAACAAAAAGCAATTGAATTAAATTTGCAAAAAGATGATTTGATAGTCCTTCACTGCATTATCTACCAACAGAACTTGTGTTCTAAGTCCATTCGACTCCAGAATGTTATGAATGTGGTAGTAAAAACCTGAATTGAGTGACCCAAAATGGATATGTGACTTAGCATTTCTGGTAGATCTTACTGGCTACTTGAATGATTTAAATTAGGAACTTCAAGGATAGTTAGTTAATGATCTGTACAGCCATTTGAAAGTGTTTCGGAATAAAATCCGCTTGTGGGAGGCACAGTGCTGTCTGGAAACAGTTACTTAGTAAATATTTGATATTTACATTTCATGAAGGATTTACCGTCCGGAGCCTCGCAATGGGTAAGGCCGCCGCTGGGTACTAGACAAACATGGACGAAGAACATCAGTACCAATGTATACATGTAATGTAAACCACAATTGCTTTACAAACAAATTTGGATTGAAGCAGGTTGAGGATGAGGTGTTATTGATAGTTACTATACTTACAAATAATCGGTGTAAGTGTCGAGTGCTCTGTAAGTGATAATTGTATTACTACAAATGGCTACAGCTGGGAAGGCTATTTTTGCATTTCGCGTTGTTCCCCGGACATTTATCTCTAGCGGCGGTCGGTTTTGAAATTCCCAGTTCACGTACAGCGTAACTGATGTTCCCCATGCCATCAAACCCAATATCAATATAGCGTAGAAGTACCTAAAACAGAGCGCTGTCACAACATTGGAGGTTCAATCAAATAAACCGACATTAAGAGGTAATAAAATAAATATTGTACAACATCACATACTTACATAGGTACATGAGTGCCCCCGTATTACGGAGTATCTGAAACAACGAAGGCACCACGATACCAAGACCCGAAACAAAATAGAAAAGTCTATTACCTAAATTGATCGGGAGTCGAGACCTCAGAGATGGCGACACCTTGAAACCGGTGTGTAAACCACTCGGCTGTGGAGTTGGTCTATAAAGGTTTTTCTATAGTTGTTAGCAAATTAGCAAAGCTTGTGACTGCATTTTTCGGCGTGCTGAATATACACTTTAGTAATTTTACTAAACGAACAAAAAGAAAATGAGTATGTTATACGGGAAAAAAATCACGTTTGCTTTATGGGAGCCCCTTAATTCATTATTTTATGTTTTTTAGTATTTGGGATTGTTATAGTGGCAACAGAAATACATCATCTGTGAAATCTAAAGCAAAAAAAAACGTTTGTGGTATGGGAGTCCCCTTTAATGTTTATTATTCTGATATTTAGTATTTGTTCTTAAGGCAGGAACAGAAATATCATCTGCGAAAATTTCAGCTGTCTAATTTTCATTATTCATGAGATACAGCTTGGTACACAGACAGCGAAGTCTTAGTAACAGGGTTCCCGTTTTATCCTTTGGATACGTAACTCTAGAAAAACCATGGACAACGATAACATAATAAGTTTCTTGTTGATACCTTATTAAAATGCGAAACATTAAGAAGATGCCTAGGTAAGCTCCGCTTCAGTAGTAGAGTAATTTTAATTCTAGAACATTCAGCTTACCTAGAGGATTTATTGCCATCAATATTACGGATGTACCGTAGCACAGGGGCTGTACAATGCTTCCAATATTCATGTAACATATCATTGAAACTGCCTCGTAATCTGCTTTCAATATCTTCACAATACCCATTCTTTGAAAGTGATTCAGCTTTTAATTGCTTCTTGAATTTCTTGTTCCACAACTCTGGATCAATTGTTCTCATTTTTAAAAGCTTTCATTGAACTTGTGGTGTTAGTTAGTTTGTCAATGTGGATCAAATCATGCCAGTTGAATTCGAGTTTCAAAAATTGATCAAGTTTTTTGCCGTACGGTTTTTTTTTATTAAATTTACTAGGAACAAGTTGCTTCCGAAGTATTTATTGATGTATAAAATTATGATTTAATTTCGTCGATTCAAAGGGGTCCCGGATTTTTTATTACACGAAGTATATCAGTAATTAACAAAGTTATACTAACTCCACTAACTCACCATAGCGTGACTATTATTGTACCTATAGTATTTTATATTTAAACCACACGACATATTTAATATTAATAATAGTCGGAAGGGGTGTAATAAGCTCACAGCAATGCTTTCTGTGGTAACTTTATTTTGTTCATAACATTTTCACTTATCTATAGATATAGAACAGCTATACACATAAACATAAAACTTCTAGCACATTTATGTACAATGGATCTGTGATAAGATAATATAACGAGACTTAATTTTCTTTTCTTTTCAAACAAAAATGTATTCACGAATATTTGATAGTAAAAACAATTAAAAAGTTCTTCTCGACTTTATAATATAAATCAATTACAATAGCATAGGTACATGGAAGCTGTTTTATAATTATAACAATTGTTTCACAAAACTCGAGGATTGTGAAACGCTTTAAAATTTTATTGGTAATTTTGTGATTGTATATTGTCAACGAAGACTTTTAAATTATACTTAACAAATACTATCCGCCCGCGACTCTTTCGCGTAAATCAAAGGATACCTAGGTAAGCGTGTTATGATGTAGCTCAATTCTAAGTATAATACCTAATATTCAGATTACCTATTAATAATCGAATATTTTACCTCTTTATAGTAATAATCCTTTGTATAAATTTCACATAAAATTCTTACTCTTTCTTCCTTTAAAATGTTATTTTATATAGAATGCTGATTTCTTATTTAGCAATACATGACGAAATAATAAATGTTAGTCTAACTAGTCATGTTTGAAGCAGAGTTTTAACTGTGACAGATTTAAATGAGATATATTTTTTTAACTGTAACAGTGTAATATAAAAAGAGGGTTGTCCAGAACGACTTTCCAATAGTTGTTGCTGGTCTGATGATAAAAATGTTATAGTTTTAATTTTTTCACTATTATTTTTCAATTATCTTTGTACATGTAGGTACATAATTACCTGTAGCTATAAGTGTTTGATAGATTTAAATTTTTTAACATTCAATTGATTGTTAGTTGTAATAATGTAATCACTCACATGTTGGTAAATCTAGGTAAAAAACGACATGGCAGAAAAGAAAACGACAAAGTGAGAGGTCTTGAATTATTTTCGTAAGATTTAATCGTCATACACGCCAAAGAAAGATAATATGAATTATAGGCATTTCGGCGTAAGGTAGGTATGTACATAGGCTGACCTCATTTTTTTCATTAATTTAATACATTTTTAAGATCTTATTGTTGTGAAAAATCTAGATATAAGTACTTGCATAGAATACGGTATCCTAAAAATACTGATGTAATAATATCTACTAGTGCAAGTTATATAAATAGTGATTTAATTTAAAGGCATTTAATCCGTCCGTCATTTAATTTAAAGGCATTTTTTTAGTCAGTTTTCAGAAATTATTATGATAATATATAAAAATTTTCAAAGAATATATTTTCATTTATAGTCAAAAAGTGTATATACTTAGGTAGGCCACAATTTATTAAATGCATTGTCAATATGCTATGTAGGACATTTAAAGCTTATTTAATACCATTATACAAAGAGTCAAACTACCTTACCATAATTATGTGTTAAATTAACTAACAAAATGTATCTTTTTCTGTGATTTTTTTACACACTAATTACCTACTATGCTTAGTAGCATATAATAAACGCTAAACACTGACAACACAGAAAGACAATTACCTAACTTAGGAATATCGATACTCTTTTCTATATTTTTTTATCACACTGTAAAGAGACCTTGAGTCCATAGAAGCGTAGTTCATATCATAATAATAAAATTGAAGAAGTAATTATACTTTAGAAGAATGCATATCTTGTGTTTCGCCGTCATTACTTATAAGGTGAGTCTACACGTGGGCGATGGGCCTCGAAGCAGCGGCTGTGGTACGTCAAAGGTGCGCCACTAGAAGCAATATTGACAACAGTAAGAGTGAAGCTCCACTAATACCCAGCCTCGTAGAATTCGATAAGATGCTCTTCCCTGTAATATAGAGAAACCTTGTATAAAGACTCGAGTTTAGAAATTTAATAGTTTATCTTAATATCAATATTATAGCATTTTAAATTCAAAATAAATTCAAATAATAAAAAAACATATTATAGAATGCCATTCTATCGTGATATACATCTTTCACTTACATCGTTCAGCTAATTTCCTGTGACAGCAGCAGTCCCGTCGGCGAGCGTAGTTAACGCAATCATGCGCCAGCGGTCGACAACGGTGTGGGCCAGTATAACATGTGTGAGGTAACCATGGGAATGGATCAGGCAGGTAGCTCCGCTCACAGCAGCAGTGGTCTGCCAACACGCGTGTTTCACAGTACTCCATGTCGCTTCGACTGCACGTACCGCAACCTTCACGACTCGATGGCACTAAGAAATACGAAAAATTTAATTTATTATGCGGAATGGCAACTGACAAGTAACTTCAGCCGATAGCAAAGTTGGTATCAGCTGAATATGTCTGAAATGAACAGCATAAAGTATAAAGAATTGAACAGCAAGAACAAACTTCAATACTTCAAGCTCGCTTCATAAGACAAGCATGTATTTCTTTGACAGCATAAATAACGTTTTAAAGGGGATTATAAGTTCATATGGAGCTTAAGTAGGTACATGCTCAGTTTGATTGAGTTTTAATAGTTAGACGTAATATTAAAAAAGTTATTCGATTTCAGACGAATAAAACACGAGTCCTAGTCTTAGTAGAGTAATTCTGGTAATTTTTACGCAGTAATCTCATCTCAATAGAGTCTCAACTTGCGTTTTGCCATTTTATCTGCTGTCTAAATGAAGTCCAATATTATTAGTGCAATGTCTCCCTTACAAATTAATGGTGACAGAAAAAAATTGTAAATATATTTTGCAATCTTATAACAAGAACTGTGTCATAAACGGTTGTAGTTAAAGCACTATTGACTTTCTATAATGACGCTAACATAAGCAGAATACACTACACATCATCCGCATGATGTAGCTTAGCAAGTTCGCCGAGTCAAAAATCCACACACGTTCGACACCCCGTATTACTGATTCCTTTAAAGCGATTCAGCGATCTCTATGAGGCTAAAGAGGTTCCCAACTGTCTGATAAATGTTCCAAATACGCTTCTGTTATTACATATTTGCGCCAAAATTTATAAAAAAAAGAAATTTACTTAAATATTTTATTTACATTTTTTAAATTCTTAACCTAACCCGCAATCTGGTTAGAATTTCAGGTTAGGTTTGGAATTATCGAAAACTTGCTCAACTCAAAATTTCACAATGTTTTACGTTCTTAAATTAAAGTAAGTTGAGTAATGATTTTCGATATAAATAGCTAACAATTGATGTAAGTCAATATAGGTACAGTGGCTAGCACATTTTAGTCTACGTGACAACGGAAACAAAGGCGGGGCGGCCAGGTAATACGTGATGAGCCAAAAGTGTCGCCTGCAAAACACCTATTGTCTGTTTAAGTTTTTTTGTGCGCGCTACCGAATAGTATTTTCTGTGAAATAATGCAGTGACTTAGAGTAGGTTATTTTTTTTCAGTAGATTTTTTAATAATATTAAGCACTAGCTCTAAAAGGTGGCCCATACGTTAATTTAGGCTTAGAATTAACAGTAATACAAAATCCGTTCAATAGTTTTTGCGTGACAGAGTTACAAACAATACACCCATCCTCACAATCTTTCGCATTTATAATAATAGTAGGACATAACTATGAAAAAATATCGATTCGATACCTCTATTATTTTTTGCAATACTTTATCAGCCAGTTGCACAAGCGTTCATTAAGTCCATCAAATTAGTAATCTAATGTCGCTTTAAAAAGCGACATTATCCGATACAAATTTGACATCCATTAGAGCTTAAAGACATCATTAAACCCTAATGCACATTTATGCAATGGACCGTCTAAATAGTAGTAACTCTACTTAAATTTAATCCTTTGATATGAAATCGAAAGTACCTACAGTTTTCCCTTTCAAATTTTCTTTAAGATAATTTTGATATTGTTGTAAATTAAAATGATAAACAATATTATAAAATTAGAACACTGATTGAAACAATGGACTCGCGATGTGTGCCATAACGGACTGTAATATTGATTAGATTCGCGCGATACTGTATCCTAGTTATGTCTAGTTCATAAAAGACGACTCTAACGTAAGTACTGCTCGTCAGTAACTTTTCTAATCTATTGTTTTAGACACCGTCACTATAGGAACGACGCCTGAGTAAAAAAAGTATATTTATACCGTGAGTCAGATAATAGATTTCTTTTGTTTCAATTTAACAAGAAATGGCCTAAATAATAAGCGTTAATTAAATTGAGGTGTGGGGGCTCGCTCACTACGTCACCAGTATATTGAGTAGAAAATCTACAAAAGATTTCAACTCAATTTATCGTCGTTATTTATTAATTACGCATAAAATAAAAATATACGTGATTAATATTCTTCAAAAATATATCTGACAGACAGGCAAGAATTTAATCATCATCTCTATTATGGGGTTTAAAATATCAATGCAATATATATATAATAGGGTTCGGTAAGTTGTTTTACATTACGCTGTGATATTTCAGTAGTACTCTACTACCTTTTGGTTTTGTTGTGATTGTCAGAAAGATTGTCGGTGTGGGTTCGAAGTGGTACCAAATTTATTTCAAATATATTGTAAGTTATTGTTAAAGATCGCTTAAATGTTTAATTCTCATCATCAGTATAGTAATGTTTCTAATGCTGGGTCACAAACGTTCACTATGGATGAAATCAAATATTGAGAATAGGCCATAACCCCTCACGTAGGCGCAGTAAGTGAAGATGGGTATTAAGGACTGTAGATGCAGCTGGGATGAAATGCTCCAGATAATAAATTTTCACTCACCATCTATCATATGACCACGGTCCTTGCGAGTTTCATAACTACTTACACCGCATCGGAGATTGACTACTCAAACCACAAAGCCATCGAGTTTCTAAATAACATACAAGTTCAACAGTACTTTCCTAATAATGGAAAGAAGTTTACGTAATTTTAAGGGATCCAAACCCAAAGGATAAAAACGGGACCCTATTACTAACACTCCGCTGTCCGTCCGTCTTTCCATCTGTCAACATACTATCTCAAAAATCATGATAAACAGTTGAAAATTTCACATGTATTGTATTTCTATTGCTACTATAACAACAAATACTAAAAACAGAATAAAATAAATATTTAAGGCAGTGTCATAAACAACAAACGTGATTTTTTGCGTTTTTTATAGATAATGGTATGGAATCCTTCGTGCGCGACCGTGCCTGCCGACTCACACTTGCCCTTTTTTAACTTCTTAGAAAGGATTCATAAATGCTTCAAATTAGAAAATACTTTTGTCGTGTTAAGTCTATAAGGCGAGAGAAATATTTTTATCAAGAATTACTGACATTCAAGGTTACAAAAAATGACGGCGACAAATCGAAGGTTTTGCTCGGGAAGGCATTGCTAGAAAAAACGGACACGGTCCGCTAGAATCTGTTTTATATAAAATAAGGAAAAAAACATTTCTTCGGTCAGAACTAAGGTTTTACTGGTAAGAAATGATTTTTAGGAAAGGAGTATTTAAAAAAACTTAATTTTCGTGGTCCTCTGTGAGGGTATCGAGAAATACCGGGCGGATTTAATCGGTAATCGTATTTTAATAAGCTTTCCGTTTTTATAATGTAAAAAATATTTGTTCGAGGTATAATCTCTATAGCATTAATAAATATGAGTTCTATCTATAGGAAAAAAAATATATTGTATTCATTACGATGTATCATATTCATGTGTTTTTCTCTCTTTTTTAACATCTACTATAACAAATTTAAAAAAAATCTTAAATACGCTGCTACCTACTTATAATAAACCTTCTTTCCTTTTTTTGCGTCGTTTGTGTACTGTGCAATTGTGCACCGAGTTTTCCTGTATATTGCATTCAATTCTAAAAGATAGTTTTCATAACATTTACCTTGAATAAAACTAAGTAATTAAATACTAAAACTGATAACAGGCGTGATAAAATATTTTCACAGTACTAACTTATTAACTAATTCTCCGCAGTCAATCATCGTTTAATGACGGCGACAGTCACCGGTAATTAGCAGTTTCGTGATGGCGGTAAATGCATAGCTGGCCATTGGTAGCCAAGGCTGGAACACAATGACAAAGGCTCTGTCGCAGTGCACATCGATTGAAGGTGTGAATTCACTATTTCTATAGAATCTGCATTGCAGTGATCGAGTGAGATTGAAAAAAATGCATTCGGGTTTCAAAGTCAGATGACAGAACCGATTACTACTGCTACTGTTTTACCAATTAACAGAGACTCTCAGTCAAGCGACTTATAAAATGAATGGATATATGATACAAAAGTAAATAAGCATCCGTATATTTATTATGGTTAATGTAATGAATAACTGTACTTGAAGAATGATAGCGCTCGGTGCCACTTATACATGACTAATTGGATCTTTTACTAAATGTTTGTGAATCCAAGCACAAGATTCATATAAGTACCTCATATAGTTTTACATATAGCTTTAATAACTGGTACTTCTGGGAATGTTTATTTTTTGTTCCTTCAATTAACCCGTCAAATGTTTGCGCAACAGAAAGTATGTCAACGTCGGGTGCATCAAGGAAACAACACAGTTGGTGAAAAATCAGAAGGGACGCACGTTCGTACAATACATACATTTGCGCCTACACATTTAATTAAGTGCTTTACAAAAGATTTTTGTAACTCATTGACGTGCCTAAACTTTTTAAATTAAACTTATAATAAAATATAATATATAATGCTTAATGCTTATAATAAACTTGATGATACATGTCTTAAGTTATATTAAACGTTTAAAATAAAATAAAAATACTTTAATAAAAACCATAAAACAGTGTTTTTTGAAAAAAAAAAAGCATTTAACTGGTATAGTTAAAGTTTTTTTTTCATACAATACATAAAGCATTTGATGAAAGTAGGTACATTTTCATCGACAAATACCTTTTACAATACACTCCTAAGATTAAACATATATCCGAGCTTGTACTTACGATAAAGGTAAATAAGTATTTTATGCAACTACGTCATTGTTGTATTGGATGGACGTCATATAATATGATGTCGCTTATGTTTAAAAAATGTATAGACTATACAATACATCTGGTTTACAAAAGTAGTCTACAATAAGTTTCGTTAACCTAATATCCTGCTGTTGTGGTTACCTCCGTGAGTCGTTAAGTGAACAATTTTATAGGTATTAGAAAAGTAGGTCAGAGGGGTGTAATTTCTTACTCATAATGACATCAGAAGGGGTGCGTGATGAGGTCATACCTATGTCGGTTGAAACATTTTATGGGAT